CCTCCCTCAGACCAGGAGTCCTGACCCCCAGCCCTCCTCCCTCAGACCAGGAGTCCTGACCCCCAGCCCTCCTCCCTCAGACCAGGAGACCTGACCCCCAGCCCGCCTCCCTCAGACCCGGAGTCCTGACCCCCAGCCCTCCTCCCTCAGTCCCAGGACCAGAATCCCACCCCAGCAGCCCTCAGGAACTCAAGAGTCTGAGCCCCCAGCCCCGCCCTCTCTGGAACCCTCTGCCCCTCACAGAATGCAGGAACCAAGGGTCCCTTTTCCTAAGGCTCCCCCACATTGTAGCCCAGGGTCCATCCCACTCCCCTGAGGCACACTGGCCATTTCCATCCCCAGAAGCTGCCTGCCTCGGGCCCTGGCACCTTTGCCCTACTCCTGACCCAAATCAGACCTCCAGGCCTCACCTTCTCCCGGGTTTCCTGACCCTTCGGCTGCCTGCAGTGGCCAATGCCCGGCACTTAGAGCCCATGCCAGCAGAGGCTGCCCAGGAGCAGGACCCGCCCCCACCTAGGGGGTCTTGAGGCCACTCCCCCAGCCCCACCCCTTCCCCCCCACTGGGGACAGAGCGACATCGTGTGTTGACTCCCAGAAGTAACTGTGGACTGACATATGGCCGCACCCAAGAGCTCCCCCTCCTACCTCAAGCCCTCCTCCTTCAAACCAGGACTCCTGACTCCCATGCCTCCTCACTCAGACCCTGTCATCCCACCACCCTCCAGCCCTTCCTCCCTCAGACCCAGGTGTGTGCTCTCTCAGCCCTATCCCCTCTCAGACTGAGTCCTGTCTGCTCTCCCCCTCCCACCTCCAGCCCCTCCTTCTTCAGACCCAGTAGTCCTGACCCACAGTGTCTTCTCCCTCAGACCCAGGATTCATGCCCCACAGCCCCTCCTCCCTCAGACCACAGAATCCTGGCTCCCAGCCCCTCCTCCCTGAGACCGAGAGCCCGCCACTACCTCCCGCCTCCAGGGCTCCTCACTCGGAGCGGGCATCCAGACTCTGTGCAGGATGAACTCATTTCTCTAAGCTGTTCCTCAGCTGACCTATCCCAGCTGCCCCCCATCAGCGCCCCAGTGACAGGGACAGCACATGTGTTTGCAGAGATGTTCCTGGGGGACTGGACACTGGGGTCTTGTTTGGGGAAAGAATGAGATAGCGGAATTCCAGAACGATGTAGTGAGAGATGACCTCACAGGTCCACCCTGAAGGGCAGGACCCGGGAGGCCGGGAGCAGGTGGTGGAGCAACTGGGGAGAGAGGGACCCTGTGTGTCTGAAGGAGGAGGGGCTGGGGACTGGGACTCTTGGGTCTGAGGGAGGGGGTCTGGGCGTCAGGACCCAGGGGCTGAGAGGGAAATAAGCATCACAATCAACTATCCAGAGGAGCTGTGCTCAGCCCAGGCCCCATGGCGGCATGGACATTTGAAGCTGCCTAGTGGCGCCTCGCAAGAAAGATCTGGCTAGCTGCCTTATAAAGCTTCAGGCCACACAAGCACAAAGCCACAGGGCCTCCGGAGGCTGTTCATCGCTCTCTCCAGTGGTTTGGCTGAGGTGTCCCCACCACTGACCTTTGGGTTTAAGCAGCCCCGTGCTTAAACTGCCGCACCACCAAGGCACCTGCAGTAAACACTGCCTCCACGAAAACCCCAAGGGACGCCGCCCGCTCTACCGTGTCACGCAAGGATGCCAGGTGTCACACGAGGTCACCATGAGTCACGGCTTTGTTGGTGCTCCGTTTGGGGAGACCAAGCTGAGGTGGCCCAGATAGCGCGTTCTCCCTCCTCCCTCGTGGCTGACCACACTCCCCCCCTGAGTTTTATAATAAGATGGCGACGGCAGTAGATACATTTTCTTTGAGTTTTTTAATGAGGAAGAGACCTATGACAAGACCGCGTGAGCAGTTCCTACATCTGTCCTGCGGAGGGGGAGCGCAGTGGTTATGCGGGTGCAGTGGGTAGTTAACCACAAGGTTATTTGAAACCACCAGCGGCTCTGTGGGAGAGAGGTGAGGCTGGCTGCGCAGGTACAGATCTGCAGCCTCAGAACCCCCCGGGGGCAATTGCCTTCTGTCCTCTGTGGTCGCTGTGAGTTGTCAGAACTGACTGGATGGCAGCGAGTTTGGTTGGGAGACAGATCTCGCTAGGGCACAGTGCTTGAGGCAGATAGTCTTTGTGCTTGTTAAAGCCAAACTATTGGGAGGGGATAGTGAGGGTTTAAGGCTTAACGTTGACCGATGTGCAGTAGTTTGGGGGCGTGGCTGTGGCTAAGAGCCATTGAGTGGGTTCTGGCTCACAGTGACCACGTGCACAAGAGAATGAAACACTGTCCGGTTGGGCCCCGACCTCACCGTTGTTCTGTGCTTGAGCCCTTGTTGCGGCCAGTGTCAGCCCATGGTATCCAGGGCCTTCCTGTTCGCCTCTGCCTTTCTACTTTACCATTCAGCAGTGCGGGGCGGGGGTTGGGGGGCGCGAATTCCCTCTCAAGTCTAAAAAAAAAAAAAATCTATGATACATTACTGTGGAAACCCACACTATCCAGTCCCCATGTGTTTGGGATTCGAGGACACCAAACCGGCCTGCTTAGCCCTGGCCCCAAGGGCTTGAACCAGCCCAAGCCTGAGACACACGTGCTTTCCAGAAGGGCTGTGGTCCTGGTGCATAGTCACCAAGGCCACGCCAGCTGGCCCCGTAGACACAAGAATGGACTCCATCAGAACCCGCTCTGTTCACACACCACGGTGCTCAGTGCCCAGCGGGAGGTCACACAGGACGCTTTGTAGGAGGTGCTAGAAGTGAGGACTAAGTGCAGCCTGGGAGACAGGCAAGAGAGCAGAGACACAAACCCTTGAGATTCACATCCCTGAGAAGGACAGAGAATGTGGTGGAGGCTCCCAAGCCCTGGGCCTATGGAGCTTGGAGCAAGGTGCCTGTGTTGGAGGCAGGAGGTGTAGTCTGGTGGTGGTGGTCTCTGGAGCCATTGGGTCAGGATCCCAACTCTTAGTAATGCAGTGTGACAGAGTAGAGCTCCCCCATTGGGTTACCAAGGCTTTTATCTTTTGGGATGGCCAGGCCTCTGTCTGCCCCTCTCTCTCTCTGTCTCTCTCTCGTCTCTGTCTCTCTCTCAGTGGATTCAAGCCACAAATCTTCTGGTTAACAGTTACCACTTAATCATTGCTCCACTAGGGGGCCCAGTGGTGGGTATAGTATGTTGGCTAGAAAGTGTGTGTGTGCGTGCGAACGGAGGTCCAGAAAGGATGTGTGACCCTCTCAGGAGGGCCATGGGATCTGTGTGGTGCCGACACTTGGATGAAAGCTCGTCGTCGAAGCCCTAGAGCCAGGGAGCCTCTCGGGGCCACAGAGGAGAAGCGTGATCCCATCAGAAAGTCACGGTAAGCCGTCCCCACGTCCCCAGAGAACCCACACTCGTCCATGGGGGAAGCAGCCTCCTTTCAAGAAGACGCAGCCAGGGATGAGCGACAAGGATGGGCCCTTGGAGGAGGAGGAGGAGGAGACAGGTAGACTCGGGGGTCCGAAGGAGGAGGGGCTGGAGGTCAGGATTCTCTCGTCCTCTGTCAGCACCCAGCACTCTGCTGGGAGAGGTCCTCTGTGTCCCCTCTGTGCTCCCTGAGCAGCTGTCTCTCATCCAGGTGGCCATGGGGGTGGGGGTGGGGCCTTTGGCCCAGGCTCCGGCCACCTGTCGCCGTCCCCTGATCAGGGAGCTCCCCCATCTGTCCCCTTCCTCCCATCATCTTTGCTGTCTTCCTCATCCGTCCACTCCTCCAAGCTGGAGCCCCCCTCTTCCTCGTCCCCATTCTCACTGGACAGGATCCCCAGGCTCCCAGGCCCCTTTCCGTCCTCCCCTAACCCCCAGTCATCACCCAGGAAGTCCAGGACAGCCAGTGGGGGGCTCCTTGTCTCGGGGTCCAAGTCCAGGAGCCCCTGGAGCAACTGGAGGGCTGGGGGTGCAAACTGGTCCCAGGGGGACGGTGGTCGACGTGGCTGGGGCCTGGTGGTCACCCAGCCAGCAAAGGCCTCAAACTCAGGGTCAGGGGCCAGCGCCACATCCCACGGGAAAGAAGCGGTGGCAGCACAGAAGAGAAGCACGCCCAGCCCCCACGAGTCCAGGGCTGGGCTCAGGGGCAGGGTGTCAGGAGGCAGGAGAAGACACAGCTCGGGAGGTGCAGAGGGCAGTGGACCCGGTGGGGCAGGGGTTGGACTTCCCTCCGGCCGGGTCAGACCCAGATCGCCCAGGGCCACACGACCACAGAAGGGATCGAAAACCAAGACATTGTCCGGCTTGACATCCGCGTGCACCAGCCCCCGGCCATGGAGGAAGTCGAGGGCTTCGGCCAGCTGGGCCACCACTCGCTTCACCAGCAGCTCCGGGAGACCCTGGGACCAGGAAGAGATGGTGATGGCCAGGTGGCCCCCAGAGAGGCGCCACTTCCCCCAAGCTGCTACATGTGGTAGCTCCTGCGGTCCCTTAATCCAGAACCCAGATCAGTGGCTATTCCCGTAGCCCTTCCCAGACCTCCAGATCCTCCCAAACTCCAACCTGCATCCTCATCTCTGCTCCCTCAGGCAAACTCCCTGATGGCTTCCCAACCTGAACCCCAGTGCTCTAACCAGAGGCCTCTTAATGTTCCGCTCAACCCCCTCCTGAGACTACTACTCAAACCACTCCTAATCGTTCTTTTTTAAAAAGTCATTTTATTGGAGGCTCTTACAGCTCTTATCACCATCCATCCATCCATCCATCCATCCATTGTGTCAAGCACATTTGCACCTAGGTTGTCGTCATCATTCTCAAAACATTTTCTTTCTACTTGAACCTTTGGTATCAGCTAATTTGCTTCCCCCTCATGATCCCTTGATAATTTATAAATTGTTTCTTTTATGTCTTACACCGACCACCGACTCACCTTCCTCCAAGCTGACCAACCAGACCTTGGTGAGCGAAAACCCAAATCCCATGCTTCACCCTCGTCTGAGTCCCTAACCTACCTAGATCGCACCTTTAACTCTGTAGACCCTGTTCTGAAACTCCCCGGTTTTGTTCTCAGCTGATTGACCAATGGATCCATCCTGCTAGCCTGACAGCCAGCCAACCACCCATCAAACCAGTCAAGCTCCTCCACATGCCTTTGACCAGCTAGTCAGACCTTGTCCACTCATCCTTCCTTCCTTCTCTCTTGTCCATCTCGGCTTTCCTCCCGTCCATCCATCCTTTCATCCTTCCTTGTGTCAACAGTCATCCAGCATTTCACCCATCCATTGTTCCTACTCTAATATGATCCTCCTTGCATTTACCTATTCATCCCTCCATCCCTCCATCCCATAGTCCCCCATCAATTCCTCCACCATCCATCATCCACCCATCCATCGTCCACCCACCATGCCCTTCCTTCCATTTTTCCCCCAACTCTGTTTCAAATCCAAAGTCCATTCCTAACGATGCCCCACTTAATCTTCAAATTCAACTCCGACTAGAATCTTGTCCCATTCAGTCCAACTGTTTACATGCATATCCCCACCTGCCTCCGCTCTACATCACCGCTCCAAGCTCTTCTCTTTACCCGTCACCCCCCTACAGACTACCTCCAAACACAGCCCACCCAACTGTCCACGCCCATGCCCCAATCCCGGTGCTATGGGATATCCCAACTCTGTCACCTACCCCAACCCCAGCCTCATCCCCCTTTCAATCCACGCCCAGCCCAGCAACTCCCTACCCACGCCCCACTCCAGGGGCTTCTGTGTTGGGGTCAGGGTGGAAGTCAGGATTGGAACTCGGGAGGACAGCAGGGGCTGAGGGTGGGCTGGGGGTGAACAGGTCAAGGTTGGAGACAGAAGCAGAGTTCGGGACAAGCGTTGGAACCGAGATGAATGGCCCCAACCATCATGTCCACCCCCCAAGCCCGCCTCACCTGTTCCTGGAGCATCCCACTGAGGTCTCCACAGGGCGCATACTCCTGGGCAAAGGCAAAATACTGGGGGGTCTGCAGGGGGCCCGCCAGGGTCTGGAGCAGGCCTGGGTGTGAGGAGACGCAGCGGCCCACACAGAACTCTCTCAGGAAGGTGTCCCTCAAGACAGAGTCCCTACGAAGAAGCTTTAGAGCCACCAAGGGACCTGCCGGGGACAAAGCCGGTGCGTGGATGGCCGCGGGCCTTCCGACCAGCTGCCCAAGCTCTCTCTGGGTCTTGGCACACTCAGTTAAGGAGGGCAGGGGCGGGGCCCAGAAAAGGGTCCCTGACTCCCTGGGGCTCCTGTCTGTCCAGGTGGGAGGTGTGTGTCTGTCCCCCCCCACCCACCCACACACACACCCTGTGTGGTTTGCTTCACCCTCCCTGAGCCTGCAGTGCTGGGCAGACACGGTGGTGGGGGTTCAAACCCAAGGTCTTCTGCTGCCTGCCTTCCGAGTGGCCTTGGCCAGTCCCTCACTATCTCCGGGTGAACTTGGTTACACTGAAGGCCACTGCGCTCTTAGCCTTCTGAGGGCTCCGAGTGGTGGGTGGGTGGGGACCCTTGTCCCTCAGCTCTCCTGGGGGCAGTCCAGGCCAAGGTGGCTCAACTCACCGCCTCGGCGAGGCCGGGCAAGGAGCACGCGGCCGTAGGAGCCCGAGCCTAGCTTGCGAATGAGGCAGTACTGGACCCGGAGACTCCGCACTGGGGTCACCCTGGACACCGTCAGCTCCACAAAGCGCCGAAGGGTCGTGGCTGTGTCCTCCTGGGGGTGGACAGGGGCATGGGGGTGGGGAAAGACAGAGGCAGGGAGGGGTGAGTCATGGCACTGCGGAGAGCCAGGTGCCAGAAGGGACCAAGGGGGAAGGGGGTGGTCTGTCCTGGGGCTCAGATGGGGCAGGGCAGGAGGGGTCACTGTCTCCAGAGAGGCTGATGAGTCACAGTGAGTCACCAGGCCTTGGGGACACCTGTTATTGTGTCCTGGCCCAGCTTCGGAGTGATTGTCTCAGGGACCCGCCCGTTCTCATCTCCAGGAGCTGCCCAGAGCCCCCAGCCCTAGCGGGGCCCACGCCTCTGTGTCCCTTGTTCTCTGGGCCTGGGTCCCCTTCTCCAAGGGCTTCTGTCTTGCTTCAGTCTTCTAGGGTCTGTGGTTCGAGGCCTGGGTCTCCTCTGCTTCTGCCTGTCTCCCCTCGCCCTTCACCCCTCCATCTTTCCACCCCTGGCTTCGTCTCCCTCTGCCCCTGCCTGCCCGCCTGGTCTCCCACCTCTCACCTCTGCATCCCCTTCCTCAGGGCTCTTGCGGTCCCTGAGCTCCATCTCAGGGTCACCTGGACAGGAGCCCATCGTCTAGGCTCCCCAGAAAGCAACCAGCCTCCCCGAGCCGCACTGCACACCTTCGGCCACCCCGTGCCCCCAGCCACTCAGTGACAGACCCAAGCAAGGCCTGGCTGTCCCTGGGCGTCTCCCTCTGGACGCGGCTGCTCTGACCAGCCTCGCTCTCCCCAGGCTTCCCCTCTCTGCACGCCTCTCCTCCTCCTGTCTCCCTGTGATGGTCTCTCCCTGTGGACCTGCTTAGTTCTCCCCCGCTGTTCCCCTCCCCTTCTCTCTGGCCTTCCTCCCGCCCTGCCCCTGGCTTACTGGGTCCCTGTCCCCCCTTCTCTCTGTCTCACTCTCTCTGGGTCCCTGGCCCCCCCCTCTCTCTAAGTCTCTGTTCTCTTCTCTCTCTGGGTCTCTGCCCTTCTGTTTGGATCTCTGTCCCCTCTCTGGGTCCCTGTCCCCCCTCTCTCTGGGTCCCTGTCTCTCCTCTCTGTCCCCCTCTCTCTGGGTCCCTGTCTCTCCTTCTCTCTGGCCCCCTCTCTCTGGGTCCCTGATTGTCTGTCTCGATTTCCTTTTATGAGTCTCTCTGCCTCTATCTGTCCTCTCCTCTTCCCACCCTCCTGTCTCTATCTAGCCCCCTGGTTGAGCTCGCATTAATCTCAGGTCCTGTCCTGGTTGGTCCTAGACTGCTGCCCCAGCACTGTGTAGTCTTCGTTTGGGTGTCCACGCTATCCTCTGTGCTCCCGGACCCTCTGGCAATCTGTGTGTCTCTGCGTCTCTCGCTCGCTCTCTTTGCTTCTGTCTCTGAGTCTGCGTGCATGTGTGACACCCTGCCCCCCCTCACCCCCCCACTGCTGCCCCCCCGCCCCCTTCCAAACATAGACCAGCGTGGACTCTGGGCTTGAGGCCCAGGACAGAGGGGACAAAACATATTGTGAACCCCCAGAGGCCAGGCCAGAGGGACTCAGAAAGGTGGACAGACCCTCAGACACCTTAACTGAGTAGACCGGCCCGTAGACCACTGCCAGCCACCGTCCTGGGGGGCTCTGAGAGCTGGCCCAGACCAGGGTACCCTTCCCAAGGACACCCTCCCTCAGACCCAGAGCCCCAGACCACTGCCTCACACTCAGGAGTCCTGACCCCCAGCCCTCCTCTCTCAGACCAGGGGTCCTGACCCCAGCTCCTCTCTCAGACCAGGAGTCCTGACCCCCAGCCCTCCTCCCTCAGACCAGGGGTTCTGACCCCCAGCCCCTCCTCCCTCAGACCAGGAGTCCTGACCCCCAGCTCCTCCTCCCTCAGACCGGGGTCCTGACCCCCAGCCCCTCCTCCTCCGTCAGACTGGGGAGCAGACCCAGGAGTGCAGATGGACTGGACCTCCTGGGGCGCAGGGTATTTGCATGTTCTTAGCACCTGCTCTGAGCCCTGCGCTGGGGGCTTTACACACAATCTCCCCATGGCCCACGAGGGTGGGAGTTTATCCCCAGTCTACGGAGCAGGAAACTGAGGTTCCGAGAGGCAGGCAGGCGTGGGGCCCTTGCGCAAGATGGCCCGGCCAGGGCGGGGTGGGGGCAGCAGGGCGTCGGGTGTGAATTAAGATGTCCGTGGGGCCCCGGGCCAGCTGGTGACTCAGCCCCTGACACTGCATCCCCTCGAGCTTCCACTACTACAACCGCTGCTATTAATAAAGGGACAACACAACACTGGGCTTCTGGAAAGATCTCCTGCAGCAGGCGTAGCTGCAGGGGGGCTGGCATCTCTCTGACATCTGAGTCTGAAACGTGGCAAACACATGGAAACGTTGAGGGTGCACTGACCCGATGCCACCTGCTAATGTGTA